AGAAATTCTACGGGCGAACCGAGGTTTCGATTACGCGCAAGTGCGTCTCTGTTGAACGAACGGTCGTGATGTGGTCTTCTAAGCGAATGCTCGCGTGTTTTTTGTTCTCAGCCGAAGGAGACGGTCGTGACGCGGTGGCGCGCAGACCCGTGGTCACGTGGATCATACACGTACGTTGCCGCCGGATCTTCAGGTAAGCCACGTCTCGTCGCACTGTCTCGTCGCGCCATTCGACGAATTTCGACCCTGTGACCTTGAAAACACCTCGTATTTTCATGGCTAGTTTAACGGCTGCTCAGTCGCACATTTGGCAAGGTTTTTTAATTTCGAGAAGAATGTTTTGCGAAAGAAGTCGGTTCATATATCCGCCTTGAGTATCGACGGGTCATTCCTATAGCCAATCAGCGTTGCTATAGGGGGGGCTCTAAAAATGTTGATTAGTAACGAAGTGCTGCGAAGCCGATTATCTGAAGCTCGCGCGTGATAAAGTGTTTGTCCAAGCTGGCCTAGCCTTACTGACCTAGCAGCAGCGTCCACTGTGAGCATCAGTATCTCACTCTGACGGGTCGGGTCAGTTGTTTCGATCAGCAACACGCCCCGTTTATACGCGGCGACATTTTGCATGTGCAGGCAACGACTATGACCTCCTGGCCGCACCGATCGGTGTGTCACCCATCATGCCGGGAGCGCCACCGCAACCCAACAGTCTACCGAGGCTGTTCTTCGCTGGAGAGCACACAGTGCGGTATGTAACACAGTCAATCCCGTATGTATGTGTGTGTGTGTGTGCGTGTGCGTGTGTGTGTACATGCGTGGTGCGTTTGTGTGTGTGTGTATATACGTGGTAGCTGCTATCAATATAGCTGCAGTATAGCTGTCATTAGCAGGCATTTCTATGCAACAGATACCTCTCTAATAAAAGGTGTTCAGACAAACAGCTGAGGCACTGCAGAAATTTAGCTATAAATTTAAAGGACATAAACTTAGTGAGTGCTAACGCCTGCTCACGTATTATGTTATTATTATTATGATGATTGTTATTATTATTATTATTATTATTATCATTATTATAATAATCATTATTATTATTATTGTCATTATCATCATCGTTATTATTATCATAATTATTACCATTATCATTATCGTTGTCATTATAATTTTTATTATTACCATCATCATCATCATCGTCAACATCATCATCATTGTTTCTCGGCTGTGCAGGAACTATCCGGCGACGGTTCACGGAGCCTTGCTCAGCGGCATGCGCGAGGCTGGACGTATCGCTGACCAGTTCCTCGGCTCCCCCTACGCTGCGCCGCGACCGACGGCGCCCCCTGCTGGCGCGCAGTCCGCACCCGCAGCCCTGGCCGCGGTCGCGGCAACGGCGCAATGAGGCGACGGCTCGCCCTCTCAACCTTTCTGGACGGCGACGGAATTTGGCGAAGACTCACAGTCGGCGATAATGGGCGGTGCGTGCATACAGACACAATGCTAACATCATATTGCTGTGAGGAGGTGCTTTCTAAAAAAAAATGGACAAAAACATGCATGACCGTAATACTAGCTGGTGGGGGTTTTGTGTGTTCTTCATATCGGTATGTGATCGGTAGAGCACGCTGACAAATGGCGAGGGGGCCGGAGCAGTTAGAGCTGCAGGCGTACGAGTTCCTTTTGTTTTGTTTTAAAGGAAAATTGAAATGCAGTGGCTCATGTCTAGAGACAGTAGCGTTAATAAAGTTGCGATTACGTTACCATGGTGACCATACTCCAAGTGCCTGCGTGCACACCAGCTTCCAATCGGTCGGACGCAATGGATGGCCAGTAGGCATATGTAGTGGGAGGATTCAGATATGATAATAAGATGGATCAGGGGTGGTGCCAGGGGGATGGCAGGGAGTGCTACAGCCCTCCTTCCACCGTTGGGGAAGCTTGGCCCTCCCCCACCCCGTCGAGTATGCAACTCTCGGAAAAAATTAAGTAACTCGGTGCGGCGTCTGTGAAGAAAATTTTTCAGTCGATCTTCGTTCGCAGCCCTGCGCTAGTCGTAGTAGTAATATTAATGTACGAAAACGATAGGCAGGACGAAGGGCCGGTTATAGATACAGCAACTATTCTGTGCTGAAAATGCACAGAATCGCATTTTGAGCCGTGAAATATGGAAAAGTTCTATAATACTACCCACGCCGTAGCGCCCCCTATCGTCGAAAATCTTGACTCGCCTGTTGCGACCATGACCTCATTGTCGGGCGATCTCGGGTGCGATACCTAGGATGGGATCGCTCGATGTGATTTCTAACAGGATATATAGACAGGAATGTGAGCTTGAACGTAGAACCCTACTAGATGTGTACGCAATCCAAGGGCACATTCACAATAGATCGATGTAGGCTCTGAGGCTCATCGTCAGAGCTAGTTTGGTCGTGGGAAAACAGGGTAGATGAGAATGACTGGATACGGGAGATTGCGATTCGCATTTTGTTTCCCCGCACGTCGGATCGGATGGGTGGGTCGATGGAAGAAAGGTTGAGTTTTTCGTGTTCAATTTTAATCGGATCGCAAATAAATATTTTTCTCGCGTTCACGAACGATCGGTCCCTCGCGATATCATTCCTCTTGGTAGTGAAGGTGTTTGCTAAATGAGATGTGTAGTGTGTCAACTTAGAATAGTGTTCCGTGACTAAAATGAAATACAGGTTTAGGCTAGTTACCTGAGATGTAGTAGAATTAATTTATTCGATGTTTGACTGAATATACTAAAGGGTTACTGCTCTGAGAATTGCGTCCACTGGTTTTTTACTAGGAAACATGGTCAGTTATCATCTCTTGAACGTTGTCAATTATGTGTGTCATTTCTTACAGTAGTGTTTCAAGCTGTGAAAGTGTAATTTTGTATTCGTTGTAAAAAGTAAATTAATAAAAAAAATTTAAAATTAATAGAAGATGCATTGTTTGGTGAATTTTGTTGTTCAGTGGTGTGTGGCTGCTGTTTTCTAAGTAATTAAATACATTCAAATAATTAATAGTTCAACGTTATGTAAGGAATTAATTCATGTACTTGAATTTCATTTATGACAATGCTTTTACTTGCTAATATTTGAATAATATTTACATCATTTCACATTTAATAATACGTTTTGGTATTGCCACTGTCATAATTGACAGCAAAACTGTCATACAGTAACTCCACAACTCACATTCAGTAATATAGTTTAGAATGGAATCAAGCTCAATATAATCAAGAGTCCATAATAGAAAATATTTATGTTATGGACTCTTGATATAATACAAAACAGTATAATTCAACGACGTATACCTGCAACCTCTGATACCTTTGAGTTTGCTGTTGCTGCATGCGTAAAGCAGTGCAACTTCCACTATAAAGTACTATTTCTGACACCACTTGATTCTAGCACGACGCCAATAGAAGTAAATTTCACTCGGTGCATCACTACTGGCCCCGCGACTGCCAATACACTTAAGATGTTCGTTAACTTAGAATAAAACACGTTTACGCATCAATAGAAAACCCTGTAGCATGTCTGTGCATTAAGTAGAAGCAGAATCCACTAACACACATGCACACTAGTGCAGATGGTAATAAGGTGTCAATACATGATTATGTACAGGGATGCCCAGCACAAGCCTACAGTAAGATCATATTTCCACACGACAAGATTAAAATCAGGTCCGAGTTAGGTTAGGTTTCAGTCATGGCTAGGGTTAGATAAAGGGTGTGGAGACGAGGTATGATAATGATCGGGTACAGATCATGTACGAGCGGCCTACAGTAGGAGTGACCTGGATCGTTCTTTCTATGAAGCCAGGTGCATATACAGGCAGAAGGATTGGTCAGTCCTGTCTCACACAGACAGGAAGCTGGTTCAGTCCTCTCCCACACAGACAGGAAGCTGGATCAGTCCTCTCCCACACAGACAGGAAGCTGGTTCAGTCCTCTCCCACACAGACAGGAAGCTGGTTCAGTCCCTCTCCAACATAAAACAGACAAGCCGAAGCCTGGTTCAGTCCTCTCCCACAGCAGACAGGGCAGACTGCGTTCACGTCCTGCTCTGCACCACAGACCAGGAAGGCTGACAGTCCTCTCGCCACACAGACAGAAGACTGCGATCAGCCTCTCCCCACACAGACGGCAGGCTGGTTTCAGTCCTTCTCGCACACAGACGGCAGGCTGGTTCAGTCCTCTCCCACACAGACGAGCAGACTGCATCAGTCCTCTCATGCGGGCGGGCATCTTCCCAGGCGTCGCGATGATGGCTGACGCCATCTCGGTGACGTCTGTCTCCTTTCAGTACGTCTTGTAGCAACGACAGCAACCCGATATTCGAAAACCACAATAGGGGACCACGTCAACACCAGGGCAACCTGCCATGTGGCACGGCTGCCGGCAGAAAAACGCAGATTTCACGCCCTACTCGGAGCAGCACGGAAACGCATGCGAGCAGAGGAGTGCTGGGGAATTAAATGCCATGTAGGGTTCTTCCTACAAGAATCTAGTGAATTCTCTAACACAAATGAAGGCATTGCTGCAGCATGAATGTACCAACACAGAGCACACACAAACACGCCGGCACGCACCGCATGCACACGACACACACACACGCGCGACCACAACACACGCAACCCACGCACACACAACTCACGACGCCGCGACGCACGGCACACCACGCACAGCTCACACCACCACACACACGACACAGCACAACACACACAACACACACACACACACACGACCCTACACACACACGCACAAACACACACAACACACACAATCAGCTCACACACACACACATCACACACACACTCACACACACATGGCGCAGCGCCCACACAGCACACACGTACCATCTCGAGCTGGCCACCGCGGCAGGACACCGCAAGGACTGTTGAGCAGTAGTTGCAGGTTGCTGTGCGCGTGCGGGAAAGCTCAACAAAGTCCAACCATCGGCGTTGGTGTCGAGAGGGGGCAGGCGAGAAACATCATCGGCCCGCCGGCGCTCCAGTTACCGACGCGGACGGCGTGCATGCCAACGACACATCTTGAAGCCGACCTGTGAGAACGATTATATTATATATAATATATAGCAGTAGAGAGAGAGAGAAACGAGAGAGAGAGAGGAGAGAGCAGTAGAGAAAGAGAGAGAGAGAGAGAGAGCAGAGAGAGTGAGAGAGAGAGAGAGAGAGAGACGAGAGAGAAGAGAGAGAGCGAGAGACGAGAGCAGAGGAGAGAGAGAGGAGAGAGAGAGAGAGAGAGGAGAGAGACGAGAGAGAGAGAGCAGAGAGAGAGAGAGGAGGAGAGAGAGAGAGATACATTAGACCACGGAGCGGGAGGGGGAAAACAGAGTGAGAGAGAGCATGAGAGAGATAGGGAGAGATAGAGAGGGGAAGAGAGGAAGGAACAGAGGGGGAGGATAGGGAGAGAGGGAGAAGAGATAGAGAGAAGGGAGAGAAAGAGAAGGATGTCAGTAAAGTTACCACCCAGATAGCATGTCGCAGCCGTTGAGACAATGTTTGTATTTGGTTATGCGACTTTAGCGCAGTCACATTGAGCATGTGCACGTAAGTGCAATGTTGGCAGTTTCGTTGCCGCGGGTCACATTGCAGGGAAATGAACAAAAGAGACAAAATAAAAAGTAAGGGAGGGGGAGGAGGACAAAGATGGCATGGGAGAGGTTAACGAAATCATCCGGGAGGTAATAAGAATGGCATCAAAGCAAGTAATACTCCTAATGGCAGTCGGGAAAATTTGGTTTGTATCTCAAACACACAACATAACAGCCTTAACGACTACTAGTACTATAGCCACAAACTTTTGCTATGATGTCAGATGTCTCCTAAAGTCATTGCAGCGACTAACATTGGACCTCGCTAGAAAATCCTCTATCATTCGTACGGCCGATGTTGTAGCCCCTGGACGCAAAAAAAACAGGTTGTAATTAGCAATAATACTATACTAATACTACTACTACTACTACTACTCCCAACAATAATAATAATATAATGGCAAATAATCATGCGTGGACATTATGCACTGTCATGGTGCGTAGCTGAGGCGCACGCGCGCGCACACTACTGAAGAGCAT